CATTTTAATTTTCTCCGTAATTTTGACTCTGCTGCGTCCCGGTCGCTCTTGGTGGTGCTAAAATGTTAATCTTACAGGAAGGAAATGGTTGGTGGTGAATGAAAATGGCCTAAAAATGTTGTACCATTGTGATATTTCTGCTTTAACTTTCGTCTTGCTCTAAGCTCATAATCTGTGAAACGATTTTATTGAGCACAGAAACTTATGAGGTCTTCGATTTGAACCTATGTTTTCGTGATGTATTGGATGCAACAATTAAATTCGGATCCTTCTAACGTCGTGTCATAAACCTTCACATAGTATATCCCTCGAAGCCAGTCTCTGTGGAAAGAGATCTGCAAAATGTGAAAGACATCTCAGTATCTTGAATCCATTTAGATCCAACGGGTCATATGTATCAGAACTCTTACCAACTGCGTGACGAATCGCTCTCTATGATGTCTTTCAAAATTCTTCTCAACATTTCCGGTGCCTACTTGATTGTAACAGACCCCGAAAAGAAGAAGGACCTGTCCTCAGAGCCGTCTGTCTCAACTAGCTCCTACAAGACCTCCCAAGAAGATGCGATAGTTCCGGAGAATGAGGGTTCGAAGGAAGAGACGAAGAAAACGCCCATGATCATTCTCTACTCCCTTACAAAGGGCAATAATAACAGCTGTGTTTTGGTGATGATAGATTTGAGCAAAGAAATTGCCGACCAGGTTAGCTTTTGACTTTGTAATTTTACTCTTCAATGGCTTATCAAAGAGATAAAAACACTGGAAAAGTTAAATGAAGCAAAAAAATGTATTTACGAATAACATGAAGGAGGTGTAGGTTGGTTTACAAAAGGAGTACCCCATCTCTCACTATTTAAAGACCTCAGCCTACCGACAGTTCACGAGATCAGCTCAGCATATGAGGCGGACCTACTCAATTGCACGTGATTTCTCCAGCAGATTACAACCTTTCTTACAAGCACGCTCAAATGCTCGTCGATCCATCCTTGGCTCGGTCTCCTTCGAAGCCCTTAGTTATCGCGTACCACGACCAAGTATCAACCTTCAACTTAGTCGTTTACGTAGGGAGGATAAGAGGGATAAGAAAACCAAGAAGGAGGTCTTTTTGTGTTCGCGTTGATTGCGTTATTGTTCATTGGGTTTTGTTACTCTGAGGCTTAAGTGTTTTGCTACAGAT